TCTCTCTCTCTCTCTGTTCTTGATTCTTGTATGGAGAAATTCAGTAGATCTAAATCAAGTAGAGTGCAGGTAGAGAAGTACAGCTCCATTAATGGAGAAGCTCCAACTAGCATGCAAGATCTGAGGAGTTACAGCACTTCTACTTCTTCATATGGATCATCATCAGTTCACAATCCTCCCCCTCCTCCAGTACCATTACCCCATCTAGATCATAATCCAGCCAAGATCAACAAACAAAAGAATTGGGTTTCTTCTTCTTCTTCAAAACGTTGGAGTTTCAATGACCCTGAGTTGCAGAGAAAAAAGAGAATTGCAAGTTACAAGGCCTATTCCATGGAAGGAAAAATGAAGGGTTCTTTCAAAAAGAGCGTCAGTTGGATCAAGGAAACCTGCAACCACGTCGTTCATGGATGGTGGTGAATTTTTTATCGATGAACTTCTATGGAATGATTTACGGGATTCGCTTAATTGCCTTGGTCGTGGAATATCATTGAGAATTATCAAAAGATTTCCTGCAATTCTTTCTTGAGTACGGCTATTTCTTTTTGAAATATTTTGGTGGTTTTTGAAGGATTAGTATTATGTGATATATTCAAGGTCCTTTGATGAATTTAAATGGTGGACTATTTTTATCTGGTTCTAGAAATTTGGTTTTTTGTTGTGTTTTGTAGCTAAATTATGCATATGATCGTTAATGGATTAATTAAATTGATCTTAGCTGAGGGCAGTTAATGGATGAACCACTACTCTAATTTCGTATCTGTCATTCTGTAATTGAAGATGAGCGAACTCACTGATATTATTTGGGACAACGATAAATTTTGTATATCAAATGCCTTAAATGTTTTAGCTTTCATATTCCTGCAATATGCCCACAACCTGACAGATTACAGCTTCCAAATTGGCTTAATTACAGAGAGATTGATGTGAAAAAGGCTTAATTTAAGGTAAAGAAATGATAGAATCATCAGATTGCTGTATAGAGAAACTTCAATGTATTCAAGGATTTCACCCTTAGAGATCTAATAGAATGAAGGAGAAGGGAAAGAAAAAAGTGTCAATTTGTTGTTCACGTCCAATACCCTCATCGGTCGTGACTCTCTTGACTGTGTGCATGTTTGAATGAGCATTTATGAAGGGAAACTACAGTTGCATAATAAAATCTTCCTGCAAAAGAAACGATTCGCTCCATGACAAATAGTTAACTTGGTGAACAGATGGATGCATGGTGAATCTAGACTTGCAATGAACTATAACGCAACTTGATATGAAACGAAAAAATTCCTATGACACATACCTGATTGCCTGTCAATATTAGGACAAGGCATCTCTGAACTTGATCCAGCAGCCCCCTATCCAAACTTAACCATCATGTTTTGTGTCATAGGGTTTAACAGAAGGCAAGTCTAGACTTTGATGTTACTTACAAGGGCACAAGAAGGTGGATTGGCAAGTTGTGACTGCTGATATTTCAAAACGGTCCAGTCAAATACATGATCAAATTGAAAACCTGCAGGAGGGAGGAGGAGGAGGAGGAGGAGGAGGAGGAGGAAGATGTTAGCATGAATATACTGTAAAATAAATTATGCTAATAAATATGTAAAAACCTTCAGAAATAAAAAGGTCACGGAAAATTCTCTTCAGATAAGCATAGTCTGGCTTACCGTCAAACCTAGGCGAACGACAGTAATGGAAGTACAAAGCAAACACTGTAGGATAGCCGTGACACAGAGCCTAAAGAAAAGTGAGTATCAAATTCAGTGTGGTCATGGAATACATACATGCCAAAGCAGGAGGGTGAACCACTAGTATAGACGTTGAAACTTTCTTTTCGCTAATTTTTTCATACTTCTGTTTCTTGTTTCCAGCTCTCAGCCCCTGCCATGGGAGACTACATATTTAAAATAAAGCAAGTAGGAATATTGTGTTTAAGAACAGAGAAAACAAAACATGAAAGATATAAATATCTATACCTTCCTCTTAAGAAGTACATGAGAATATATCCAAGTGATTCTAAATCATCTCAGCGACTTTGTTCTACAGTGGTTTATGCAGTAAAGCCAAACCAAATATAATATTAATAATTGATCAAATAAGTTCTATCAAATGTTCAAGAAAAAGAAAATTAGTCACGCATACCAATGCCAAGATGAGTGTTCATGCATATCTAGCTGTTCCAGTCATATTTTTATTTTCTCTGCATTAGAAATTATATTTTCTGAACGATGTTGAATAATTAAGCACTTCAGGCCTTTAAAATCAAAATGGAGGAAATGCAGAATAATTACAGTTAAAAGTTTTCAAAAAACACGTAACCATCAAGAGGAATTGCCAATATGGAATGTGTTGATTTGAGGAGTCTTATACGTATTGGCAAGTCCAAAATCAATAACATACACCTATGTGTAACTGGAATATGAATCACCACAGATCATTAAAACAGACAGTTAAGTAAAAGTGAGGAAATCTTCAAAATAAGTAACAAAATCGGGCACCTGATTTGCACGCCATCCCAAGCCCATGAGAAAATTGTCAGGCTTAATATCCCGATGCTGGAAGGATTTAGAATGAACAAATTCGACCCGGTTAATCTGAAAAGAAATGAGATTGCAAAATAAAAACTGAAGCACAAAAATGCCTTATATTTTTAATTAAACATGAGCAAAAACAATATGCTACCATCTGATCTGCAAGAATTAGAACTGTCTCGAGAGAAAGCTACTGACTACTGAAGTTAAACAAGTCTTCAAGACAGCAAGTCCATAACAAGGGCATTATAATCTTCCCCTACTCCAAACCAACTAACCCTTGGAATTCCAGCTACCGAAATTGGAAAGAACGAGGATATCAAACTAGTGTACAATAATATCGAAAAAGAAACATGACAACCAGCAGTTGGAACAATGACAAAGATCATTACTTCCTCCTTGTAGTAATTTGTACAACTGTAGAGTAACTGGGGATGCTTTATCTTGACATTTTCCTGAGTATAAACACAGAGCATATGATTGAATCAAATAGTAGACAATCGACAATTCTGCTACCAAAGAAAGAGAGCAATAGGAAAGGGTCAAAACACAATTCGTTTTGATGAACTAGCAGAAAAGTAAATCTATGAGCACAAACATATAGACAGTATTACCAGCAGCAGCGTTGGAATCAAAGAAGTAATATTATATGAACCAAAATAAATAAAAAATAAAAACCATGTCAAATATTTATGTCTTGATTGACATTGAACATTATCATTCAATGAATCTCATAATGTAAACTGATTAAAACGATATTATAGCAAGAAAATAGTAATCCAACTGTATGGTTCATTATCATAATTATATTCTCTCATTCAGTTGTGACACATGCACATGAAAAGACTGAATTTCAAAATCCATCATTGATAGAAGTCCAATACGAACCAATACCGTCCCCCCACCAAAGGGGGGGGGGGTGGAGGGGGGTGTTCAGATAAAAAAAAATCTTAAACAATTCATGCTAAGATTAGTGAAAACAACCCCTCTACATTGATTACATCTAGACAAAATGGACAAAACTAAAAGAGTAGATTACAGCTTTTTAAAGTACAAGGAAAACCATAGGTCCGCATATACATATGTCAAGTGAACAACTGCAAAAACACCCATTGACGTGACCTAAACAAAGACAAAAAAACCTTCCTCACCCCATAAAATAGAGGGCTGAGATGATGACTCTGAAAGATACTAGCAATTCTCCCAATCCAAACAGACCCATATGATCTTTTGTGCCTTCTATAAACATAACGAACTAAGTTAGTTAAATATGTAATTGAAGAAGAAGATAATGCTGAACCGTTAGCTTCATTGATTGAACTTATTCTATATATAATACATTGCATTGCTACAAGAAGAATCTAGATATTACAACTGTTATGTGGTTCCATAAATTATAGATCGTGTTGGGATTTTTCAATAACAGAATGGTGGTCCAATAACAGCAAGAAGAGACGTTTATGACAGCAAGGATAAGAGGCTGCTGAATCACCAATGATTTGCCAATGACCTGGAATGATAATGTGGAGCTGATGAGCTAGAGTTAATTCCTAACACCCCTTTTCAAGCCGGAGGGTGCACAAGTAACTCCAAGCTTGTCCTTCAGGAAAAGAAATCCCGAGTGATTCAGTCCTTTAGTCAGCAAGTCTGCAATTTGATCTGAGGTAGGAATATATTTCACTTCAAGCTTCCTTGCCAGCACCTTGTCTGCGATGAAATGGATGTCCAGCTCTATGTGTTTTGTTCGGCGTAATAGACTGGATTTGCAACAAGAGCTCCTGCACTCATGTTATCACACCATAGAGTTGGGATTCCACCTAGTGGAAGCTTAAGTTACTGAAACAGTGATTGAATCCACGCTACTTCTGAAGCAGTTGAAGCCAGTGCCATGTACTTAGATTCTGTGCTTGAGCGAGCCACTATGCCCTGTTTCTTTGAGGACCAAGATATCAGATTGTCACCCAAGTAGATACAGTAACCCGTTGTTGATCTTCTATCATCTTGACAAGAAGCCCAATCAGCGTCTGAGTAGCCGTTTAGGTTTGATCTGTCACTTCTTTGGATCCGTAAGCCATGATTTATAGTGCCTTTGAGATATCTTAACACTCACTTTAAAGCCTGCTAGTGGATGGAAGTTGGAGACTGCAGGAACTGGCTTAACTTGTTGACAGTAAAGGTGATGTCTGGTCTTGTACGTGAAAGATATTGTAAGGCCCCAACTGCACTCCTGTAGGTTGAAGGCTCAACCAACACTTCACCATCATACTTGAAAATGGTTTTGCTAGCAGGAATTGGTGTAAGGCATGGCTTCAAATTTTCAAGCTCAAACCTTTTAAGCAAGTCAGTGATATATCTAGATTGAGTGAGATGAATGCCTAAATCATGCCACACTACTTTAACTCCAAGAAAATGATACAATCTTCCCATATCCTTCAGTACAAACTTCATATTAAGTGAGCTTATGAAACCTTGCACCAGATCTTTATCATTTCCTGTTATGACGATGCCATCTACATAAATGAGAGCAAAGATCACCTGCTTATCTATCTTGAAATAGAACAAGAATGTGTCAGCCGCAGATTGCTTGAACTTCCAACTCAAAAATGTAGCTTTCAATTTGTCATACCAGGCCCTAGATGCCCGTTTCAAACCATAGAGGGCCTTATTGAGTTTGCATACATAATTAAGCTTAGATTCATCTACAAAGCCCTTTGGCTAATTCATGTAGACAGTTTCTTCTAGGTCTCCGTTCAGGAAGGTGTTATTTATGTCTACATGTCCGATGATCCAATCTTTTGCAATTGCCAGAGTAAGTATGATCCTCAAAGTGGATGGTTTGATAACTGGACTGAGTGTTTCGTAGTAGGCAATTCCAGGTGCTTGATGAAACCCTTTTGCCACCAACCTAGCTTTAAATCTTTGAACTGATCCATCAGCATTATGTTTGATCCTAAACACCCACTTGTTACCTACTATGTTATAAGTTGGTAATAGAGGTACAAGCTTGCAAGTTTTGGTCTTTATTAAGGTATTGAATTCTTTTTCCATTGCCTTCTTCCAGTTTCCATTCATTAGTGCTTCTCTTACATTCTTAGGCTTAAACAGATCTGCATCATTTTCAATTGATTTTGTCAAGTGAGCTTTTAGCTTAAAAATACCTTCTTTTCCTCTAGTAACCATAGGGTGTTGATTTTGAACTCTTAGTCTCCCTTGAATCTAATTTCCACGTGTCTCTTGAACTTGATTTCTACTTACCTGCTGATTACCTTCATTCCTTTCAATATTCTGTAGCATATCAATTGCTGGTTCTGCAATTTCTGGTTCAAATACTTTCAAAGTTTCTTGAGTTGTTATCATGAAAGTCATCTTCTTTTTGACTGTTAGACAATAAGTGATGATGGCCAAGAGTTGCTTCAGTTTGAGATATATCAATGGAGCTTGGAGTGGTGACAGAGTTGTTTGGATCAGTTGGAAGATAGATATAAGGAACAATTATTTCAGGTGCTGTAGACTGATATTGGTTTTTGACATTGAACACTTGACCGGTGTGGAGTTTGCTTGATGTTTTGATGAGAGAAATCCAGATGATACAGCCCATCCTTAAGCCTCCCTTGTAGCATTACCTCATTCGTTAACATGTCCTTAACAAAACAACAAGTAGGGTGAAATTCCATGAAAACTTTGTTGTCTAAGGTCAGTTGTGATACACTAATCAGATTCTTCTTTATTTCAGGCACAAGTAGTAATTTGTTTAACACTAGTGTTTTATCATTTATTGCAGAAATATGTGAAGTTCCAAAATGTGAAACATTCAACTTACTTCCATTTCCCATGTGATTTTCTCCTTACCAGTGTACTCACTTGTTGAAACAATGTTTTCCTTTTCAGATATAATGTGGTTGCTGGCTCCTGTGTCAGAAAACCATACTAGATCGCTCACTATGTTTGGAAATGCTATGAGGGCNCCCCATAAAATAGAGGGCTGAGATGATGACTCTGAAAGATACTAGCAATTCTCCCAATCCAAACAGACCCATATGATCTTTTGTGCCTTCTATAAACATAACGAACTAAGTTAGTTAAATATGTAATTGAAGAAGAAGATAATGCTGAACCGTTAGCTTCATTGATTGAACTTATTCTATATATAATACATTGCATTGCTACAAGAAGAATCTAGATATTACAGCTGTTAGGTGGTTCCATCAATTATGGATCATGTTGGAATCTTTCAATAATAGAATGGTGGTCTGATAACAGCAAGAAGAGACGGTTATGACAGCAAGGATAAGAGGCTGCTGAATCACCAATGATTTGCCAATGACCTGGAATGATAATGTGGAGCTGATGAGCTAGAGTTAATTCCTAACACCCCTTTTCAAGCCAGAGGGTGCACAAGTAACTCCAAGCTTGTCCTTCAGGAAAAGAAACCCCGAGTGATTCAGTCCTTTAGTCAGCAAGTCCG